AGTTACAGAAATTACTCAATCAAACACAGGCAGCAACAACACACATGCAAAAATAAATGAAAAAAATTAAATAACATAAAATTCAGTAAAATTCAATAAAATTTAAATAAAAATAAAAAATCAGTTGAAATGACAATCAATCTGATTGAAACAGTTGCATGTTATGGAATTGGCCCCAAAGAAAAAAAAACCCACGTGACGACTCGCGATAAAGAGCCGGCTCGCGTCGTTCACGTCAAAGAACCGGCTCTAAGAGCCATTTCGTTCGCGAACGACCCATCACTAGAACATATATAAGGCAACAACCGAAGTATTGCCTTATATATAAAACAGTATAAATGAGAGTTCCTCTGACTTACCAAAGCAGGCCATCCTACCTAAGAGTATGACTCACAGTGGTGAGTCTGAAATTTACGGTTAGTGATGAACCTCAGAGACACAATATCAACCATTCGAAGACATTGAGCAGAAGCAGAATTTCTCCACAATCCAGCACAGTCAAAAATGTTGCTTTGTATTAAAAGAGAAACACAACTTATTTTGAAAATAAAATCTGAGTTTTAACTTCAGATTTTTCACAAGATACTCTACATGTGGTTTGAAGGTGAGCAAGTCAGCAATTAAGATTCTCAGATATTTATAGGTGTGAACCAACTCTATTTTATTACCTTCAAGAGTGGTTACTGATGGGATTGTTTGGGCCCATTTCCTTGATTTAGAAAACAACATGAGCTTTGTTTTGTCTGCGTCGAGAACAAGTTTAAGCTGAAGTAATGAATGCTGGACAGTAAAAAAGGCTTTCTGCAAGGAGTCAATGGCTTGGACAAGAGTTGAACCACAGCTGTAAATACCTGTATTATCAGAATTGTGTCTGATAACAACAGCAGCTAATTTGCAGTACAGCTGATTCTTTTGAGGGTTTTTTTTTTAAATTACATAATTAACTTTTTAAATGTTTTGTATTGGAGTCCCCTTCAGGCACAGTCTTGCTTTGAAACACCAATGCATAAATGAATGTGTATTTAAAATAAAATACTTTAAAATACAAGATATTTTTAATTGTTAACAGCTTAATTATTGTGCTTTGTATATGTTATATATATAAAGTAAATGCAGCATGACAGAAGTTTAGTGCCAGGCTTTACATAAATAGTAAATATGTTATGATCCATGTTTATCATGTGTGATGTGTTTACATTTGACGGTGTGTGTGGGGGTGTGCAGATCTCTCACCTCTCTTCAAGGTGTGGTTGTGTTTTTGATGTTGAAACAGATGGAGACTGCTGATTGGCTTAAGTAGGGTACCTTAAATATTGTTGGTTGATGGTTTGGGCAGTGTTCACCTCCACATTAAAGAAACTGCTGCTCATGTGTGTTTCTAGGTTCTCAGTCATCCAGGTCATGGTTGTCTAAAGAGCCTGGAAAGTGACTTCACTTCTTTAAGGTTCTGGGTGATGTTTCACTTCTAATTCAAGAAGCTTCTTCACTTCATGAGCTTCCTTTGCTCATGTTCCACCTCTGCACAGTTTCATGTCATGACAATGCAGTGCAGATCTCCCAAACATACAACAGAGGGCGCTATGCACATTCACTGAAGTCAAGAAAAATACAAGTGGAGGAGAAAACAAACAGCAGCATCAAGAGAGAAAACGGAAGAGTTCAAAAAAAGTTTGTCTCTTATTGTAATAACAAACAACATTTAAATTTCATGTTGATGCTTCATGTTAAAATGTGTGCTTTTACTGCTCAGTAAGAAAACTGATTCAATTTAAAAGAAATTGTTTAATTTAGGATTTAGTGATATCTACTTTGAAATGT